GGGGGGAGGGGGGGAGGGGGACCTCTTAAAGCAAATACTGCTGCCACCGTGGTTCTGAGTGGTGATTGCAATTTTAATATTAACTATATTCATCATCTCTCCATGTAAAGGACAATAGAAAATTTGACAGGGACACTCCCTGCTCTCAGAGTCCGAGTTCCTCTCGGGAACACCTTCATCCTATAAGATCAACATGCACTGGGGGCACAGAATTTCCTAGGAAATTTCATTTGGACCATAAATTACATTAATCTGGCCAAACGGGTCAGCTGGATCCAAACGTGCGGGCACCGAGGAAACGGCTTTTTAGCTCCATGCAAGCAAACACGGCTGTTTAATGGGTTGTTATGCAACTTCTAAGTCATAATTGTGAAGTTGTACTCTTTTTGTTTGCTCTTTTTATTCACTTCGTTAAAAAGTTGGTGCAAATAATAGAAAAACCTACGAGTATACCAGAGTATAACAATAGCAAACAGTCCAAACGCATTATTATAAGAACATTAAATCGGGTGATACAAACTGCACATAAATAGAAGTGTTCACTAAAGTGACTTACCTGAAAACGGTTTCTTGCCAAGTTTGAGATCCAGAGGACGGATGAAGATGTTTTTTTAGACTCCGCTGGCAGTTTGTCTTCGTTTCTTGTCCGACGGGAAACTGAACATGATCATTTTCAGTACAGACACATTTCTGAAAAATCTATGACAAAACAATCGTTTGTGAATCCCGTATTTGTCGCCTGCAGACGGCTTCGTCCCTGACTCTTGTTCAGCACTAAAGCTGTGGCCAAATACACTGTCTGTGTGTGTGCGTGTGCGTGTGCGTGTAGCATGGGGGCGTGCCATCATCAGCTCTCATCCTCACTACATGCGCATCAATCTCAGATTTCGGAAAAATCCCACCACGATATTAGATATTAACTTAATAACGTATATAATAAGGTATAATTTGATTCCATATAATTTAATTGTCCAAGAAGACACGTCCATCTTTTATTCAAAAAATACAAAATGTCACCCACAAACTTACATGTCAGACTGCAAAATATTCTAATCTGCGTAGGCAGCTTTCACAGACAAACAAGAAGTGATGGAGCAGAAAGATAACAAGATTAAACGGTAGACGCAGCACTTCTAATCAGTTACGTCTTTGTTTCCAGCTTGTCTGTCACTGTGAAAAGACCTTAAACAAGGAAAATGAATATTTGTTTAAACATCCAGACATACAAAAGGACACTGCCTCTGCATGCCTTCATGCAAGTACATTCACCAAAACTATTACACAACCTTGAAACACAAACTTAATGGGGTCACTCGTTTCCACATACATAATATGTACACACAGTGGCATAACATATGCATACATGTTGAAAACTGCTAGACAAGTGCCCTGCTATCTGTCTGCTTATTTACCCATGTGTTTTACACATGATAGGTGATTGTCTCTGTGGCTGCCAGAGACAGGACTGAGGGTAAGCTTTATGATGTTTCAGATATAAACCAAGAGACAAAAGGGAGCATGAGAAAACACAATATGGCAGAAAGAACATTTTAAAAGACTGTTACATAGTCTGTTTTTCTGGTTCCTGAACTGAGAGTGGATGACATGATGATGGATGAGAAGTTCAATTTGCAGCAAGGAAAACAGAAATGGAAAATGTGAGTTGAGCCTGGGAGGAAGGTGGTTGTGCGGCGTCCATTTGTTCTCAGAAAACACACACGCCTAGGAGCAGTTTGTTCATGACTATGTTGACAATGTGTACTCTACTGGAAAACCTGACTTCAGTGAAGTGAAGCAGCTTGGCAACATCTGATTGGTTTGGCTGTAGTCCTCTGAGGCAGCACCTTACACAAATTTGTAAACAGACAGAGGCAGTGGAAAACACGCAGTCATCAAAAATCTACTCCCAAACACACAAAGTGCATGTCTGCATATGATTTTGTCTATTATCTGTGATGAAAAAGGGAAGGAAGGCAAGAACCCCAACATACATGTCCTGGCTGCATATCAAGCAGATAGAAAAGCAGAGGCGTGTTACTTATAACTAGCTTGCCAGTCTCTCAGGACTGAATCCACCAACAGGTCAGGCTGGAGGCAGGTTTTCTGCCGAGGCTCTAGGTAGCCACTTTTCCACAGTGTGGCCAATAGAGACTTGCTTGCAATCAAGTACCAACATAAAGGTCTGTGTCCTTAGATAACTACAACACAGATGGGAAAAAAATCACCCCTGCTGACAAAACAAAGTATTAAAAATGCTGCTTTATACCTGATAAGAAAGTACTTAGTGCCGGCTAGTTCTCTCTGCTTCTATGGCAAGAAAAACAGCATAGGCCAAAATAAATGTAAACAAACAAAGATTTTGGAAAAAGCTTTTGAGTTCACTTTGAATTTTAGTCTGTGATTTCCTGTGCACAGCAATCAGGCAAGGCCACTTGATCATGAAAAAGCCTAAAATTGGGCATGCCAGGGTAAAGTGGCAGCTGAAAACATTTCAATACATACTTGAAGTCAGTTTTTCCTTCTTTCAAATTGATGTTTATCTCGAAGAATCTGCAATTTCACCGCCGTGGGATTGTGGTGAATACACCTTCACTGTCTTCCAATTCTGTGAGATAATCTTCTGTATCTTCCAAAACAACACAGCACAAGTTAGCAGAGATTACACTATGAACCATGGACTGTAAAAGGTTCTCATAAATGTGTATGGATTGGATTGAGACCTTGGCTCAGGTCCAGCACAACAGAGAGCAGAGTAATAACACTAAAAGGTGTTTGTGTGTATGATACAAAGGTAGTGTGGAAAAG